TCCAGCCTGTCAAGGTCCCTCTGGGTGGCATTCCTTCCCTCCTGCATGTTAACCGCACTACACAGCTTGGTGTTGTCAGCAAACTTGCTGAGGGTGCGCTCAATCCCACTGTCCATGTCGCCGTCAAAGACGTTAAGCAGTGCTAGTCCCAATACCAGCCCCTGAAGAACACCACTTGTCACTGGTCTCCACTTGGACATCAAGCTGTTGACCACAACAATTTCAGTGTGACCATCTACCTAATTCCTTATCCACTGAGTGGTCCATTTGTTAATGTCTCTCCGACTTAGAGACAAGGATGTTGTGCGGGACAGCGTCAAATGCTTTGCACAAGTCCAGGTAGATGATGTCAGTTGCTCTTCCTTTATCCACCAATGCTGTAACGCCATCATAGAAGGCCACCAAATTTGTCAGGCATGATTTGCCTTTACTGAAGCCATGTTGGCTGTCACTGATCACCTCCTTATTTTCCTTGTGCCTTAGCATAGTTTCCTGTTTACTTGCAGCAGTTTGACACGAGTCATACTTGATAAATTTTCCCTAGCCCTTGTGTACTGTGGAAGCTATGGTGGGATGCTGAGTTTTTAGAGCAATTAAAATAAAATATACACCATGCACCTCTACCCTTGATTCATAATGCATTTCAGTCTTGGGTCACTGATTTGAAATGAACAGTTTCTGGAAACAAAACTTTACACACCCCAGATTTCACATTATACTTTGTCTCTCCTTGTTGGTGCAGTATCAACATTTTTAATAGCAAGTTGTTAATTTGTTGGGATTGGTTTAGGCTCTAAATAGAAGTTTTAAATCTGAAGAATTTAACTAATTCATTATCACAATAATGTAAAAGAACTGTTTAAACAGTTAGCATACACAAACCACAACACTGTGGTTTAGCATACACAAAAAAAACCAGTTAGCACACACAAACCACAACACTGTTTCCACCTGGTCCTTCTTATAGCTTTCGTAATTCCTGCCCAAGCATACACAGAAGAGTTCCATGAAATGTACCAAGGTATTTGATATCTCAAGTCAGGTCTACAGGATTTTGGAAAAGTAACGTCCTTTGACTGTTAGTGAGACCTATATTTCATAGGCGTTTTGAAAACTTCCAGTATAAGAATCACTTTAAGTTTTAAAAGTCAAAATATAGACTATCATAGTTGCTTTAGATCATCAATTCAAAATAGTTAAGATTTGCAATGAAGCCTTGCACCCTCAGAATAAACTTATGCCCATCTGTTCTCAGTTTTATATGACGGTTATTCATAAATTTCTGGGTAATTACATAGACAATTCAACAAAATGGCCAAATGCAATTTTTTTAAAATAGTCATATTTTCAAACATACCAAGTTTTTTAGAAGTTTTGGGTTTTTTTTTTCTCATTCAATCCAATTGCAACTGAAGATGCTTAAAGTGCACCAGGGACCCTTATAATTAAAACTGTAACAGGCTGAAATTATTTTCCAATTATTACTCAACACACCAATCAGTGCAGCAATGCTGTTTATATTTGTCAGTAGAAATTACCGTGATTACTTTTTGCTTTCAAATGTGTCACTAAAAAGCTAAAAAGAAGTAAGATGGAAGAACAGAGGAGGATTTCAGAAAGACTACGGATCCATTATGTCTGATTCTGGCATTCACCAGGAGTAAATTACAGAAACAAAATGCATACAAATTCAGTTTATCCCACTTTGCTATCACTAAATTAGACACTTTTGAAAGCTGAACTAACAATGGGCAAATTTAAAAATTTGCAAGAATTGTTGAAACAGGTACCTACTATAATTGTTTTGCAATCTAGGGATGAAGGCAAAAGGCAATTACTGAAAAAACAGGATCAGACAGATGTGCAAAGAAGGTTGCTAGCTGCAAAAACAGGAAATTGATATTGAAAGCTATAAGACAAATAGCTGCACATATCTGCTCAGAAGAAGGATTTATGTACATAGGAAGAATAACAAAGGGAATTCCTTGAGGGTTTCATGTTTCACTATAGATGTTAAAATGTTTAAAATACAGGAGCTCAGAAGCCGAAAGGTAATTTTGATTTTACCTCAAGAAAGAAAAAAAAATTCCCATTTCGTCAAAGAGGAAAACCAGAAATCTTCCTCTTAATTTATAAAATTGCTATATTATCATTTTCTCATCCATATTCATTTTGACTATACCTGGGCAAATTTCTTTTCTTGCATTAAAAAATCCAGGAAAAACAATAGCTTTTCCTTTAGATGTTCCAAGTTTATTTTCCTTGATTAAGCATCATGCAGCATGGTTTGGAAATTTCCACTTTTTGGACAGTGAAGACTCTGCTCAGGTACCTCGCTATGCAAATGATACATTTTAGAAGAGAAAAGATACAGTCTCAATCATCAAAGGTATTTGGTTTTGAAGCGTAGATGTTGGGCCTCTACCAGATGACCACAGTCCACGTGGCTCAGTTGGTACTACGTGGGCAGCAGCAGTGGTAGTCCCCTATCACTCAAGGTGGTCTCCAGCATGGGATTCTGCAACCTTGCCCCTTCCTCACTCATCCCTGTGATGTTCTGGGAAGTTGACATAAATGAAGATATACCCTCACTTTCTATTTTAAGACTCCAAAACACAGTTAATGAAATGTTAAACAGCAGTGTAAAAACACTGCAAATATTGTGAGTAGTTTCTCAGCCTGAAGTTGATTTTGATAGAATGTATCTGATGAGCCTCCTCTTCTTTTAGGTAAAAGCCCAGTGAAAACTCTTTCTAAGGTTCCTAATTGATTTCTTCTTCCTTAGAAATATATCATGAATGAACAGAAAAAATTACCTCAAAGCACATATTACTATGTTTTTCACAGTAAGATATAAAAGAAAAAGAAGGAACATTGTCATTAAAAAAACCCAAATAAAAGTGCAACCGAACAGGAGGCACTGTGGATTCGTCATCTATTACTTTGTCTTATGAGACCTAGAAGTAGACATGATTTGAAATAACAGAAGCAGCACAACAGTAAGAATAAATCACAGAAGCACAATGTATTTACTATGGACTACTCTGCAATACATAGTTAAATAGCAAGCAAAGAGAAAAATTCATCCTGGATCCAAAAGTCTGCTCTTCAAAATAATATTTTATGTATTACATGCATACACATCTATCAATATAATTAGCAAAAAAGCTATGTGATTTTTTAATTTGTTTTAAATTGCAAGTAAATTAATTTTAAAATGTAAGTATGTCTATATATGTACATGCGTATCTCTACTTATAGAGATATTTCTATATCTAGAAATGTTTTTTCTAGATTATGCATCATTACATTAATATATTTAACTGAAGAATTGCATGCTCACATACGACATAGAGTTGAGGGTGTGGAAACTAAAACAGGTATTCTTCGATTTGAGTTTTAGGATTTTGTTAAAGATTTAGAAACTGAGAAACAAAAGATATTAACCCAAGACACAAATATGACTAAGGGCTGTGTGACTGAGGAATTTTGCCATCGATTTTCATGAAAGCTTATGCAACACTAAGCACCATATTTAGCAAGTAGATGAAGACTGCCAGATAACAGTCTTAACACGTTTTTCACCTTGTTCGGGTGAAGACGTAAGACATGCTGTGATAAAGAAAGTAGACAGCAATGTCCAACTTGTTTTAGTTAGGCCCAGTCTAGTAGTCTCCTCACAGTGCACTTACTATATATTGACACAAACTAGCCACAAACACCATTGCAGCTGCTTTTTTTTTTAAGATCATGATTGGAGGAGCAGAAATAACACTGGCAACCAGCCTACATAAGTCCAGTGATTAAAGCACTTGTTTGAAGAACAGAAGATCTGGATTTTTTTTTTTACTTTCTTCAAATTCCATCTGCAACTTCCCAGGAATAACACTGGGAACACTGATGGGAAAGAGCAATCAAGTGTGGTGGGGGAAAAAAAAGCAGTATTTATGTCTGCTGTTGAATTTAAAAGCACTGTGCAAAAATGAATGGGGATTCACAGGGCCAGAAGACTGATCAGGTTATGGAGACCTGGGTTCTCATTTGTATTCCCAGACCCATTTCTGTGTTAAAGGTTTTTTAACCTAATAATGATTCAGCACCAAAACTAGAAAGAGTTCCAGAAAGTGAGGACCAAACCCTGTTCTGCTAGCTGAAAGGAGCCAAACTAATTTAATGTCCTTTTATAAGGCAGACTCTCATTCCCTGACCACTCCGGAATTTTCTTTGCGTTTGTTCCAGATTCAGTGAATCTTTTGTGAATACAAGGGACCTGTTCCAAATTCCAACTTTGTTTTCCACTTCTGCTAGTTTGTTCTTTTTTTTCCTCAAGAGGAACATTCTCCTCTGAGACTTAGCAGACATTAGCCAAGGAGCCAGCAAAGCCCACGACAGCCCTCTGCTTCTGATTCATCCTGCTAGTGCAATGAAGCGGCTCTGCAACTCTCCAGCCAAGTTTCTTCCTTTTGGTATCAGTATGTTATTATAAAGGCTACTATCACCAGTACATTCCTAAAACATCTTTACTTTTCTCCAGGAAATTTAGTGAATAACCATGCGTTCACAAAACTACGCATCACTTTTCTTCCTTCCACAGGAATCCATTACCTTGGACAATTCAATCCAGAATGGGCTTCCCTGCTCAGCTGGCTCTGGAACAGGTTTTGTAGTGCCAAAGACCAGCAATATGGGAAATAAATCTTGCCCATAATGTCAAATAACAAACAATAAGTAGTAGGAAGTGATTCCAGTATTACTCAACAACTGAAATTCGCAAGTATGGGGAACAGGAATGTTGCTCTCACCTTCCTCTCGGCAAGTCTGCATCATCTTTCTTCCACCGGACTGTGGGCGTGGGATCCCCCTGCACCTGGCACCTGAAATCCACGGCCTCCTCCTCCAGCACCACTTGGTTAATCGGTCGCCTGAGAAACGTGGGCCGTTCTTGAAAGAGACATTAAAATTCCTTAGTGAGTCAGAGGGTTGAAATGAACACTTTTGACTTTTCAGCATCTTTTTGTTTACTGATTCACAGAACGAAGAAAGGAGGCTGAGCTCCACAAATTCAGACAAGCGGAACTGATGATGTGCATAAAGAGCTGGGAAGATGACTGCCAGGCTGGAGAGGCAGTGGCTGGTGGATCCAGCCCTCATGCAAGAGCTGAGTGCCACCAGAAGGAAGCCTGTGCTAGCACGGACTGCCTGCCTCCCACGCCAGTGGAGAAGGCTCCAAGACCGTACCCTTCCACATGAACATTTTGGCTCTGCACCGCTGCATACACAGAGCATGATCTAAAAGCTCCCGCCTGCTATAGAGATATAGGAGCTGCTAATGGAGATAGCCTGCCTTTGGCAATAATCAATATCTTGATGCTTCGGAGGAAAATGTAAACTTCGTGTTATGCATCTCAGGCAATTGTGGACTATTGCACAGAGGTCAGAGCTTCCCTGGTCCCCATTGCTAACTTCACCATGGAAAACTAAATTAAGGTCTGAATGATAAGTTCTGTTTACCCTTGTTATGTTAGCCTGCACGGCTACAAATATTATTAATCATCATAATGTTGTACAGGCCTGCTTAAAATCCAGATGGAGAGCCACAATCTGATCTCAGTTATACTGGTACAAACTCAAAGCACCGGTAATTTCATTTGAAAGGATGTCACTGGGGTTAGTTTCCAAGTTGCCTTTGGATTGCATAAATTTTGTTCTGTCCTCTCCTAGCCATACCACACTTTTATTGCCATAAATTATTTATGCTAGAGTCAAACCATTATAAGACTGGGTTTGTATGAAGCAGTATTTCCACTGAAGACATGGATTTATTAAAAAGACATTTAAAACTGGTTACATACTACATTTTGCATTTCATTCTCAGCGAATTGAAGGGTATGATGTCACTTAAAAAATTATTCAAAATTCACACAGATGGAAGCAATACCAGATACTGACTCAGTTTGTCTTGATAACTACAGAACGGAGTTTATGGGTTGGTTATCCATGTTTATTATATCCAAATAATAATTAAAAAAACATTAAAAGAACATTAATAAGGTTGCAAAACCAAGCATGCAGCACCTCAGTGCCAGAAGTGCCAGAACCAAGACTGTCTGCATGTTCTTTAATCACTCCCTTTCTGTTTATGCCTTTTGGGATTGGTTGCAATTATATGATCACATACTATTTTTTCCCAAAACATCTCCAGATTGTTGGTATTCATTTAATAAGCAGGTGTTTAATATTTTGCTTTAGTTGTACCATTTAGTGGGTGGCCTCCTGTCACACTACTCAAAATTCACTTCAAAGACAGAATTATTAATTTCTTCATGACCTCCATTACACCTATCTTAATGCTTCATAAACAATTAATTTGTTTTCATAGCTCATCTCTGAAGTGCGATGGAGATCTAAGAAAGCAAAGTAAAAAATACCTGCTAAATTTTGATGCTCAACCTGAGACACAAAACTGCCAATTTTTTTTCTTTTTTATTTAGCATTAATTTTCTGTGTTCAAAGCTCAGCTTCCATTGAGTTCAGTTGCAGCTGATAAAGTGTTCAACACTTTTACAAATCAGATTATTAAGTCAGAAAATATGGAACACAAAACCACCTGTTAATAATTATGTAAATGAGTGACAGCATCACATAGGAATTCCATGATACTAGCAGGGGGACCTACTGGCAGGGAAAAACTGATTTTGTCAGCAGAAGAACAGACATGTTCAAGAATCTATAGCACTTTTCTAGATGCTACAGATGGAAACATATCTAATGACAGAGATTCTTCTCATTTCTCCCAAGCCATTGCTTTTGTTCCATTCCTAGTTGTGACCAGGATCTGCAGGTTCCAGCAGCATTTGAGCACGTAAATTCAGTTCTAGTCTGTTCCCACACATTGAAATCTCAGTCTTTATTCTGTATTTCAAGTCTCTGTACCAGTCATACATAACCTTCACTACAGCTCCTTGTCCTGTGTGTGCTTCATCAGATTTTTCCTTCCCTGTACATGTAGTCTCCTGACCCTTCCCCATCTCCACCCAGGTTTTCCCCTACCCTCACCTACGTGTCCTGGCCAGCCTGTGACAGTGCCTCAAGTCTCTTTCTCCATTCCAGCCACTGGCTGTGCCAGCTGTTTCCAGCTGCAGACTGCTTCCTTAGCCAATTTGTCTCCTCCTAGCCCAGAATATTGTTGTTCACAGCTGGAACCCAGCAAGTGTTCAAGTCCAGTCTCCCTTCCAACTATCCATGCCTCTCACTTCTTTGTACCTCACAGCAAACTGACTCTTCTCCACTACGTATTTGAACTACACTTGAACTGGAGCTTCTTTTCTCTGTGCCACCTAGATACAGCCCATCCAAAATATTAACAAAAGAAAAATCAGTTAAAGTAACAAAGTATCAACCCAGGAGTGTGACAGCAGCATTAAACTACAGTTGCAGGAAAATGCTGTTCAGACCTGCATTCTACCTGGTGCCTCTGGTGTATGAATTGATGGGTTGGAGTTTTTTGGGTGGGTTTTTTGTTTGGGTTTTTTTTTGTTTTGTTTTGTTTTTTTTTTTGAGAGGTGCATAATTGCACTATTTGTTGAAAATTAAATAAAGCAAGCAAAATACTATATCTCTGGCATCATGTAGCTATTTCCCATCAAATTTTATGTCCCTGTTATTCAATATGAGGGACTTGCATTTCTCAGGACAAAAAGCTTCCTCCATTCCTCTCCTTCAAATCCTTCCCCATTTCCCATAATTATCCCTTTCACCTCAAAACTGCAGAAACTTCAACATTCTTAGGGAAGAATGAATTATATTGGGAATTTTTAAAACAGTAATCAGTTGAAGCAGACATCAGGCACGGAAAATTTTGGATAAAGCCTTTTGGTTTGACAGACTTGTTAAAACAGGACAAAGTAACAAAGCATTAGTTGTTAACCTTAATGCTAAGCAATGCACTTGGCCTGTCTGTAATTATATGGATCTAGAAGGGAATATCTTAATGAAATTTTCTCTAAGTTGCAACAGTATCTTACTCACAACTTCTCCCCTAAGAAGAGCTTAGTCCAGCCCCTGTGTCCTGGTTTCATCTGGGATAGAGTTAATTTTCTTCCTAGTAGCTTGTATAGTGCTGTGCTTTGGATTTAGGATGAGCATAATGTTGGTAACACACTGACGTTTTAGTTGTTGCTAAGCAGTGCTTACAATTAAGTCAAGGACTTTTCAGCTTCCCAGACCCTGCCAGCGAGGAGGCATGAGCCTTCTGCAGGAGGTGCACAAGAAGCTGGGAAGGGGGCACAGCCAGGACAGCTGACCCAATCTGGCCAACGGGGTATTCCATACCATATGATGTCATGCTCAGTAATAAGCTGGAGGGAGTTGGCCAGGGGACAGCAATAGCTGCTAAGGGACAGGATGGGCATTTTCAGCAGGTGGTGAGCAATTGCACTGTGCATCACTTGTTTTGTATATTCTGTTATTATTATTTTCTCTTCCTTTTCTGTCCTATTCAACTGTCTTTATCTCAACCCATGAGTTTTACTTTTTTCCCATTCTCCTCTCCATCCCATTAGGGCAGAGGGGAGTGAGCAAGCAACTGCATGGTGCTTAGTTGCTGGCTGGGGTCAAACCCTGCTCTGAGCTCACACACAATACACTCTACACTATGGTATTTGTTTTTCAAAAGATAGTCCTAAACCAAGAAATCTAGATCCAGATCAGCATCCTCATAGGTGATTTAGAGACCCTTGAATTTAAATACTTCTGCATGTGCCTGTATGTTGGCTTGGTCTGCATACAAAAACTATTTTAGAATACGTTTATCAAAGCTGTCTGTAAACAGCTAAGAAATGAACCTATGCATATTTATGAAACAGCTACCTACCTGTGGCTGTAAAGTTTCATATACAGGAAATGGGAAAATAAATTCCTATCATATTTTGAGAAGAACCCAGCTGACAAGACATTAAATGGCTCAAGGTCATTAGCTAAATCACTTGATTCCACATCAAAGCAATTTAGGAGTATACATACATGGTTGTTTCAGATCAGCTTCTCAAAATTGTGTATTTTCCAAAACAGTTTAGAATTTGCTACAAAATAAATAGCTATGTAAGTGCAGATCCCAGTTAGCAAGGACATGCAAATACCAATAACTGCTATTTTCATTTTTCATCATCTCTGCATTTTGCACAGTGTGAATCGGGAAAGAACAAGTTATCGCTCATGTTGTTTCCTGTATTTGTATCACTCAGACAACCCCTTGAATATGTCCAATACCTAATTATACAGCTATAAAGTGATCAGAGTGAATGCCATTGCCAATGCAATTAACATTCTCTATCTGAGATTAACTGGATTTGAGTCACCTGCATAACTTGCTCACAATGCTAATCTCTCAGGAGACAGAGAGCTGCTTGCCTGAGCATGCTAAATAAAGGTTTCTTCATGCAGCCAGGTCAAATTCAGTTTCAGAGCTAAACTTGAGGAAAAAAAATGTTGGTTTTTTTTTTTTTCTTTTGAAATGGTTTGCCCATAAACAAAACCTTATGGTATAATTAAATGTTGTTATTCTGTCAACAGCATTCAGAACACAATATATTTAAGAAACAACAACAAAGGGTAATAAATTAAAATCATAGACCTATATAAAAAATTTAATATAGCTATTTTATAAGCTTTCACTGAGTAAATAAAGTACCCACTTCCCATACTTTCTCTGATGAATATTAAAAACCTTTGAAGAGAACTATAAAATAGGTCATGGTTATATGTCATGTCAACCAGTCATGCTATTACTAGGGTGACCTTTATAACTTCAGAATAAACTTTGCTTGCAGTTATAAAAGGGGATTGCTAATGCAATGTGGACACACACCTACAATCTGTTGCAGTGCTTGAGATATGCACTGCAAGAAAACCTACAAAACTGATCCTAACCAGAAACATAGGAA